GCGCCATTATTATAAACATATCAACCACTATCCTGGTCAACTGTCAGATTTATGTACTCTTCCTCTCTCTGAAAATATTAGACAGTTTATCCGCCAACGTGCTCTTGAAGGGCTTGATGCTTTTGGCATTCAACAGCTTTTACGTTTTCGAGCTATTGAGCTTCAGGATCAAATTCGATTACTAGAAACAGATCAGCATAGTGAATCTTTTCAAAATATTCAGCAATTACGAGATGGGTTAGTAACAAAAGAAGATATTTATGCAATTGTGCGTGATGTAATGAAAGCAAGTATTTACCTTGATGATGATGAAATAAAATCTTTAGATAAATGGAAAGCTAAAATAATTAACACGGGTGGATGTTGCTTATTTGAACAAGGCAATAACCCAAATTCGAATTTAGTTGATACAGGATTTCTTTTTGCTTTTCAGACAAAAAAACAAAAGGAATCTATGCAACATGCTAGAGTAATATGCCTAGATGGTACTCACGGAATGAATAAATATGACTATCATCTTTTTACACTTATTATACGGCATCCTTTGGCAGGGAGTGGATATCCAATTGCGTTTCTAATTAGTGAATATAAAAAATCATTAACATTAATGAAATGGTTAGATTTCTTAAAACAAGAACATAATGAATGGTGTCCGGATATTTTTATGGTTGATGACGCGGGTGAAGAAATAAAAGCTATTGAAGAAAAATTCTCCGATAGTACGGTATTATTATGTCATTTTCATGTGTTAAGGTAAATGCTTGTTTTTTTTTAAAAAAAAATCGTTTAGTATTGTGGTCGTGATTAATTAATAAATTAATGTATTTCGATTACTGCGCTAGAAATATAGTATTTTTTTAAATCACTAAAACTTTTATAAAACAAATTGTTACAAAAAGTTTTAGCGATATAAAAAATTACAGTATTTCTGATGCAATAATCGAAATATAATTAATGATCACAATTAGTGTTGTAGGTGAAACTATTTTTCAGATTCGCCCTATAAGTCCGAAACTAGTTTCGCCTAATTTTGATATACAAAATTGGATTTCGCCTACAACACTAATCACAATTACAATAAATTAAAAAATATTTCTCATTAATGTCAATTATAAACTGCCTGCACTATATTATTATTATTTGGATAATGTTCAATAAAAAAGAACAATGCCTTTTTCTTTATTAAAAAATATAATCTTGTAGGTCTTGGCGCAGAAAGCTAAATTACCATTCTGGTACTAAAGTCGACAATCATAAGGCAATAGTTTGGAAAGATCTCTGGCAATTGATGAAAACGGAAGGGTGGGATGATGCAGAAGCAAAAAAACAAGTCATTGAAGCAATTGACAGATGGCGAAGATTTAATATCGAAGCAGTAAACATCTTTGCTAACTACTTTGAGCGTTGGTGGAAACCAAAATATGATAAGTGGATGGTATGTCTAAGAGGGATTTCCAGAGACATGATAGATACAAATAATTTAATTGAAGCATTTCACTGTAAGTTAAAATATACTTATATGAGGGGACGACCAGGACGAAGACTCGACAGTGAAGTATATCTTCTTATAGAAGTTGTACTTCGAGACCTGGAATTTTCAGCCTTCCTAGATGAATTAAAAGTAGGTAGAATGAATCCCCAAAGACATCAACAACGGATTCGAGAAATTATAGGAACCACAAATATTAATCCAAATGATATTTATAGTGTCGGCTCTGGTATTTGGATTGTGCATTCAATAACGAACAATGATATAGAATATTCTGTTCGAAGAAAAGATTTAGTAGATAATGGTG